TTCACAAAATGCCCCCAAGCTAAGAGCCAGGGCAAGCAAAAAGCCAAAGTTGGGGAACTTGTCACCCTCCAGATGTTGTTGGATTGCAATTCCCATCAGCTCCAGCCAGTATGGCCAATGGTCAAGGATGATGAGTTGTAGTCCTGCAATATGTGGAGGGTCCCAGATTCCCTACCCATTACCACAGTGCTTATTTATACAAATGCCAATTTTTTTAAAAAAACAAAACAACAAAACAAAAGCATGAGTGCACACCCCATGCAATCATGCATTATCAAAAGTTTATCTTCTAAAAATGCCTAATTGGTCCCTATATCAACTTGAATATATTTTAGCCATTTTGGTCTTTAGCAGCTTGTAACCATAGCCAGTCGAAGTTTGCACTTTTGTGCACGCATGAGAATCCGCCCAAGCATGAAGAACAGCAGACTTGGTTGAGGGATCTCTGGGGAGCCAGGAGGAATCAAGCGACAGATCCTTGAGCAGAACTGGTTACAACAGACATTGCATATCTTCAACTTCCTTTATTATAGAACTGTACAAACCTATGATTTCTGGGGCATGCCATGCCCTGCTTGGTGACAATAAACAAGGAGGCAACCTTGAAACATGTCTATATCCATACGTGTATGTCACAGCTTTAAAAGCGAGAGTCTCAGGCAGTGATAACATCAGGTCAAGGCCTTACTTGGCAGAATGAGTGAGAGGGCCCCCAAGTTTAGCAGGAGGAGGACAGGAGGCGGGCAGGTGTGGAGGACTCCCTGGTCCTGAATTAGGTAACTGTGCCCCAGAAGGACCAGCTGCGCAGCCTGAGAGTCTTTTTGGACTCACAGCTGTCCATGGAGGCGCAGATCAGTTCTGTGTCCAGGGCAGCTGTTTACCAGCTCCACCTGGTACACAGGCTGAGACCCTACCTGCCCACAGACTGTCTTGCCAGAGTGGTGCATGCTCTAGTTATCTCTTGCTTGGATTACTGCAATGCGCTCTATGTGGGTCTACCTTTGAAGGTGACCCAGAAACTACAACTAATCCAGAATGTGGCAGCTAGACTGGTGACTGGGAACGGCCGCCGAGACCATATAACACTGGTCTTGAAAGACCTACATTAGCTCCCAGTACGTTTCCGAGCAGAATTCAAAGTGTTGGTGCTGACCTTTAAAGCCCTAAACGGCCTCAGTCCAGTATACCTGAAGGAGCGTCTCCACCCCCATTGTTCTGCCCAGACACTGAGGTCCAGCACCGAGGGCCTTCTGGCGGTTCCCTCACTGTGAGAAGCCAAGTTACAGGGAACCAGGCAGAGGGCCTTCTCAGTAGTGGCACCCGCCCTGTGGAACGCCCTCCCACCAGATGTCAAAGAGAACAACAACTACCAGATGTTTAGAAGACATCTGAAGGCAGCCCTGTTTAGGGAATCTTTTAATGTTTGATGGATTACTGTATTTTAATATTTTGTTAGAAGCCGCACAGAGTGGCTGGGGAAGCCACTCTGGGCGGGGTATAAATAATAAATTATTATAATATTATTATTATTGCCAAATTTAGAAGTAGTGAAGCAATGCCCATTACCAAGTAATGTCTGGGGTTGTGTAGGTGGTGGTAGGGATTAAGTCCAGGGTTTGGAATTATCTATCTGCATGAGGTGTTCCAAAGCTCCCAGGTTTTGTATCTAACTGTACCTCTGGTCCCAGGGGCTGATAATTTGGGGGTTGAAATATTTAAAGACCACACTTTTAATAAAAATAAAAAAAACACCACAAGGCAGTTGTATGCTCCATTCATTCTGTGTTAGTCACTGCTACCCTACAAATAGTCATTGCTACCCTACAAATCAAGGAAATTTGACAGGAGGGTGGAAGTGGGAAACTCTCTTGTCCCATGACCTCTTGTTGCAGGAATGCAAAATAGTGATTTCGATTTCCATAGCTATATGCCAGTATAACCAGGGACAAAGTTCAGCCAGCGGAGACTGGCAGAGTATGCCAGCACACTCTCTGGCAGGAGAGCCAATGTCAGCCCTGTTTATTCCAGTGTTTTTACTCAATATCCAAGCCGAACCCCAGAGAGTTTTCCAGCTCCATTTATTTTGTTTTCTTTGGTTCTCTTAGAGGACTCGTCTTGTCTGCCTTTTGAAAAGGAAAGAGTAGAGCAGGCCGTAAAGAGGTCCCTGCCTGGTCAAATGTTATGTGAGTGAAGTAGTGCATTTAGTCTGCTAGAGTTTCTAGGAGGCTCTAGATGGGATCTCTGGCTTAATCATCTGGCAGAAAAGAATTATTACATAAAAATGGAGTAGAACCTTGTTGGGGGTGGGGGAGACAGGGAGAAACCAGAAAACAAAAATCCAGAAAAATGGATCCAGAAAATGAAATGCCAAAAATAAAACTCTGTAATACAGTAGCTGAAATAGATACCCCCCCCCAAATGAGCATATATCAAAATAATAAATGTACAACATGTGAAGAACCATACAAAAATTGGTACAAAAAGAAAACCTCTGTACAGCAGGCAGAAAATTCTTATGGTTCTTCAATCAGATTCTCTAGATAGCCAAAAGGTTATTAAAATTATTAACACTCGGCTGCTATTAGCTGTTAATGGGAAAACATTCATAATATAAGTGGCGGTATGTTTTCACCTGTGTGACTGATAGAATTTTGGGGTGAATCAACAAGAGAGGAAAAGGTTGATCCTTGCCTCCATCCACCCCACAGCACTGCAGGCCCAGTTAAAATCGGCTGCTTTTAGGTTAACAGAAATATGTTGGGAGATGCCTTCATGAACTGATGATAAAAAATTTCAGCTTGGGGAAGAGATTATCATGTCATTATCATCTTTTCAGTTTAATCTGGAACACTGCAGGACAAACCAGTACAATGGTAGGGCACAATGCTGAGGCTGTTGTAAGTTAAACATGAAGTTTTCTCTGGCTGAAAAAGAAGAAAACTTAAGGAATCAGTCCCTTCAGACTAAGAAGGTGGAAACCTTGTCTGATGCCGTTTGCTGGTGTATTGTAGTGTCCAAGATGGCCAGCAGGGAAGCCCTCAAGTCAAATCTAATATAAACAGTGAATTCACTAGCTGCAAATAAGTAAAACTTTTCTAAGCCTGTTGATATGATTGATTAGACTTGTATATCGCTTTATAGAACCAAAATTGATTATATATCAATATCTATCTTTATCTCTCTATATAAAATAATAAAAACACACAGTTGAAACATAATGAAACAATGAAGACTATCAATACAGTAACAACGATAAAAAACACATATTAATGTTCAGATGGAACAACTCTAACATCAATATCACTAAAGCTGCCCATCTGTTTGGGAGAATAAAATTGTTCTTATCTGGCTCCAAAATGATAGTAAAGTTGGTATTAGGTGCCTCCCTGGGGAAATTGTTCCAAAGATGAAGGGATATTAAGGTAAAGGGACCCCTGACCATTAGGTCCAGTCGTGGCTGACTCTGGGGTTGCGGCGCTCATCTCGCTTTATTGGCCGAGGGAGCCGGCATACAGCTTCCGGGTCATGTGACCAGCATGACTAAGCCGCTTCTGGTGAACGAAAGCAGCACACAGAAACACCGTTTACCTTCCCGCCTATTTATCTACTTGCACTTTGACGTGCTTTCGAACTGCTAGGTTGGCAGGAGCAGCGACCGAGCAATGGGAGCTCACCCCGTCACGGGGATTCAAACTGCGACCTTCTGATCGGCAAGTCCTAGGCTCTGTGGTTTAACCCACAGAGCCACTAGAGAGAATAATATTGCAATCTGCTTGGCTATTGTGAGAACACGCTGCTGGACTAGATAGATCTGGCAGGCTCTTCTGTTTACATGTAATAATTATATTATTTGCCTGCCTTACAGGGCCATTCTATGGCAAGCTGGGCCAGGGTATGCTAAAATTGCAGTGACTGTTCTTATAGGCACATGCTTCTGCAGCGTGTAAGGAAAGACCTTGCGTGCAGAATCATCTGGCTTCACTCAAGGTCCTTTGTTATTCTTAAGCAATCCTGCATAACTTGCAGCATCCCGAGAGAAGCCAAAGATGCTCAGAGTCAGGGGTCTGAAGTCATTTCCTCTACTCTGATTCCAGAGAAGCAACTGGAGTGGAAAATTGTCTTTGATCAAAGAACTGCACGATAATTATGGTATATAAATATGTTGGTGGCAATTCTATAAATACCCAAGTATTTCAAAGCAGGACCGGTGAAGAAGGGGGGGGGGGTGGACAGGGAAAAAAAATCAGATTAAGTTAAATCAATGATAAAATCAGCATGTTTGGTTAGGGAAGAGTTTTTTCTTTCATTCATTCTCTCTGCCTAGCACTCTTCTCCTTTAGTTGCTATCAGACTCACAGAGACATGATGTGCCTTGAGGCAAAAGGTATTGCCAGCTGGATCTGAGTTGGTTTTTCGATGGGAGTCGTTCAATGGAATCTATTGATTTTCTGATAAAGTACCAGTGCTAATGCAATCCCACAGCTGGGTTAATCCAGCAGCCTAATTAATTAGCATGGGAACCTGCTAATCAGTTAACATTTCCGACATGTTTCTCCTTGCTGCAGTGTGGCTGGATCCAGATGGGTCTTAGGGTTTGCAAATGTTTTCGCACGTCCTTCACCCGACTCAACACTATGAAATATTATCAGTTGAATCACATATTCAGTCAGTCACAAACTGTGGCTGTTAACCCACGTGCCTGTTTTCCACTTCAGTCTAAATGCTAGCAAACTCAAGATTCTTATATAACAAGCTATGCTAATTGGTTATGTAAGTGTTCCCAGACCTATATGTGTCCTGGTTTACATGCGCAAAGAAACTCCCACATTAAGTGTGTGTTCACAGAGATCACTGCGTACCACCAGGGTTAAGAGTTGAGCTGGAATTCAACCATGAAATCTGCTAAAAGATGTAAGATTCGTCCAGGAATGGCAGGACATTTTCAGCCCAACAGTTGCATTCCCTTCTGGGCAACCTCCCTGAGGGTACATGTCTGTGGCTGCTGGCATAGCTCAGTCAGTAGAGCATGAGGCTCTTAATCTTAGCGTCATGAGTTTGAGCCCCACATTGGGCAAAAGATTCCTGCATCACAGGGGATTGGACTAGATGATCCTTATGGCCCCTTCCAACTCTACAATTTTACAATTCTATTACTCAGAGGCAAAAGTGAGTGGAACTATGACTGCAAATGTTACCTTTGTAAATTAGGCTACTTTCGACACACACTCGCACACGTCTCTCCATCCAAAGACGCAAGATGCATCCTACGATTCTATGATACATGCATGTCTGCCCACATGCAGACACATCCCCAAATGCACATACAGTGTGTGTGTGTGTGTGTGTGTGTGTGTGTGTGTGTAAGTCCTTCTGTTTCCCCACTGTACAGTGTCAGGAACATAGGAAGTTGCTTGATAACAAGTCAGTGCACCCAGTTCAATACTGTCTACACTGACAGGCAGGATTTTAGGCAAGGATCTTTCCCAGCCCTACCTGGAGTTGTCATGAATTGAACCTGGGACACTTTGCATACAAAGCATGTGCTCTAGCTCTGAGCTGTGGCCCATCCCATGAAATGTTCATTGTACATGCAGAGGCTGAAACTTGTCTGAACAGAGCTATTTTTCAGAATGAATTGTTTACCTGTGGCTCAGGGAGGCTATAGGGGCACAGAACGGGAGGGCCCTTAACCCTATCCAGAATTCAGAATAGATATACATGGATTGCTTTCCATTATGGCACATTATTTCATGTTGTATATTGATCAGCTTCCATTACAAAAATTAAGAGGGTGTACACAGAGCTCCCAGGTGGTTTCCATCAGCTTCAGCTTCAGCAGGGAGGCTGCAATCCCTGCCTTCAAACTACACCCTTGGTTTGCGACACCTTCTGCATGAACTCTTCCTTCTGTCCTGCCCATAGGGTGAGAGCAACGGTGGCGGCTTCTCCTCCATCGCTCTCAATTCTGGGCCACAGATAGCAGTCAGGAGTGAAGCAGGAGCCAGGAATTATACTGGGGTGAGTTGGGGAGTCCAAACCAATGAGTCATTGGGATTTGAGGGCATGCCAGGAGGCAGCTGGCAAAACTACCAACATTGCAATGCCCTTATACAAATCTGTGGGGCAACCACACTTGGAAAACACTGTGCACAGTTCTTGTCAGCACACCTCATGGAAAGCACAATCTACATGGATTGTAGAGCTGGAAAAGGTTCAGACAAGGGCAACCAAAATGATCAAAGGGATGGAGCAATTGCTCTAGGAAGAGAAGTAACAATGTTTGAGGCTTTTTACTTTCCATGGGGGTGGGGGAGGCAAGTAATGGGCAGGAGGACATGATAGAGGTGCATAAAACCTTGCAGAAAAAAATGAAGAGAGTGAAGGTTTTTTCCCTTTCGCCTAACACTAGAGCCTGGGGTCACCCATGGAAGCGTCACACTGGAAGATTTGGGATAGATCAATGGAAGTGCTACTTCACACAGCTCATAGTTGGCCTTTAGAATTTATGGCCACCAACATGGTTGTCTTAAAAAAAGATAAGCTAAGGCTATAATGGCTACAAGCCATGATGGCTATATATTACTTTCAGTATTAGTGGGATTCAGAAGTTTGCCTTTGTCTGAATACAGACAGGAACAGAGGCGCCAACTTTTAAAGAAGATTGCAGGGGCCTGAAGCGACCTTCTGACACCACGCGTGTGATGAACACCCACTGAACACTGAGGGGTCTGGTCCCCTAAAAAACACCGCCCCCCCCTCAAAAGTGCTTCAGCCTCCTAGGTGCTGGTGCCTATGATCAGTGCTTTTTTCTGGGGGGACGCAGGGGTACGCATACCCCTAAACATTTTGTGAATCTAATGGGAGAAGAAACTAAACATTTCTTCTCTAGCATGGTGAATCACCAGTTCTGTTGCTACTCCCGATGGCGGCTTCATTTCATGTCATGGTGTTTTCTGAGTCTCAGAGTGAGCGTTTAATGTGTGAAGTAGGAGTTGGAATCTAGCTCTGTGATTGGTCAGTTTTGTTGTGTTTACTGTATTTATTTTTCCTGATTTGAACTATCAAATCAGTGTGGTGTAGTGGTTAAGAGCGGTAGTCTTGTAATCTGGGGAACCGGGTTCGCGTCTCCGCTCCTCCACATGCAGCTGCTGGGTGACCTTGGGCCAGTCACACTTCTCTGAAGTCTCTCAGCCCCACTCACCTCACAGAGTGTTTGTTGTGGGGAAGGAAGGGAAAGGAGAATGTTAGCTGCTTTGAGACTCCTTAAAGAGAGTGAAAGGCGGGATATCAAATCCAAACTCCTCCTCTTCTTCTTCTTCTTCTTCTTCTTCTTCTTCTTCTTCTTCTGGTGATTTTCTTGAGTCAAAATGAGAGTACCCCGAAACATTTTTTTAAAAGGAAAAAACCACTGCCTATGATAGGGGCGTGGGAGAACATGATTGCTCTCATAACCTGCCTTTGTTGTTTGTTTGTTTTTGTCGTTCTGAGGCATCTTGTTGGCTAGAATGCAGAACGAGCATGGGACTTTGGTCAGATCCAGTATGGCTCTTCTTATGTTTTTAAGTCAGGGCTGAAGGGCAAGATCAGAGACATGACGGGTTGTGTAGGCCTTGTTGCTGAAGCAAAGTTCCACTGAGGAAGTAAGCCCTCACGTACTCCTTGTTGTCCAGGATGCCAGTCTCAGCCAAGTTAGTTGAGAAGGTGCTCACTGCCATGATGTAGGTTGCCACATGAAGCAATGTTCAGCATGTGGCAACCAGCACAGTGGATGGTCATGTCTCCTTCAGGTATGTCTGAGGGCCCCTGCTGCACATCTTGAGTCTCTGGGGAGTTGAAGAGAAAATGTGCTTTCTAGGCAGTCTAATTATTATTTAGAAAGTAGCCACTAGTTAGCTTAATGAGCTGTAGATGCATGGAGTGCAGTTTAATGTTGCCAGGGCATACAAGTGAGAATGAGTGTGCTCCAGAGACACTTTGGCTCCTGTGTTCAGTGACTGAAAGCTTTTGCTAATTGTGCATGACCCCTATGAGAAGTAACTACCAGCCGAGTCAAGTGATAGACTGTAACAGGATGCAAAGTATTTTGGAGGAGAAGTTCTAGGAGCATGCTATATACTCCAGCTACCAAAATTACACTCTCGCCTGCCAGGAAAATTACACTCTTCTTTGCCCCTTTCTCAAATTGCTTCGCCAAAGGGTTATAAGGACACACACACACAGAGAGAGGAAAACACGAATAAAATCTGGGCAAAGACAGGATAACATTCTGCAAGGGGAAAATCTTTGCTTTCTCTGTAAACAGCAACTGCTAGGATATAAAATGAAAACACTGGAATAAACATAGCAGAGTCTGGCAGTCCTGCTTTTAAAAAAATAACGAAAGGATTGGCACAGACTGCCAAACAATTTAAGGCTGACCTTTAGGCCTGGTTGCAAACATACATGTAGGTCAGTCACTAACTGGCTAAAAAACACACACACAACCCCCCCCCAACCAATTACAATAACTGGCTCGTTTTCTCAGCTCCCATTCATTTATTTGAATGCAGTTTAAACTTTATATGAGAGATGTTCCTGCTCAGTTATGTCCTTCTTGGTGGAATCCACCTTTCCTTCAAATTTTGATCAAATGTCTAACCTAGATCTAGAATTGCTGCTTGGGTTGGCCTGGGGCAAAGGACAAGATTGTACCTCCATGCCTCATTCCACCAACAGAAGCCAATTGGGTTGGAAGTTGAATCTTCCTTCAGTACTGGCAGCAGCACAGCACATTTGAGACCAGGACCCAGGGGAGGCTACCTAGTGCAGATAGTTCTGCCTTCCAATATCTCCCTCTGCTTAATGGTCAGGCCAGCCATGACAGCAGCCCCCTGAGAGCAGCCAGATATGAAATGCCAAAAAAGGAGAATTCATATCATCGAAAGGCAACACTAGTTTGCATAAAATTTGCATGTGGTAATTTCTGTGTATATTTAGAGATGAAGACTGCTCTGCAGCCTTAAAAATCTTTGTGGGCTTTTGCATGCTTCTGAGCTAGGATGTCCAGAACCTGAATGAAGAACAGACAAACGTGCGATTTGCTTAGTTGTTCAAGGGAAGGCGCTTCTTTACCACACATGAAAATGTTGACATGGAAGTTGAGAGTCACATCAGTCTGGCTCAGCTCTGTTTTCCATCTTTTGCCTAGGCCTGGCTTCTTGATGTCTGGCACTCTCCCAGCCCATCTCACTCTCCAGCCTGGATTAGATTAGCACCTGGATGAAGAACAGCTGGTTGGAAATGAACGAAAAGAAGCTGGTGGCAATGTTGGCAGGGGGAAAGCAAAGCTTCAAAGGAGAGACCATCTCCATTATATTAGGCACTATTGAAGGGCCTCCTCTAGATTGGACTGTAGCCTTGGGGGCCTTCTGGACTCCTTGCTGCAGTTCCCAAATGACAGGATTCGTGCCTTCTCCGTTTTCTGCCTGTGATCTCCAAGGACAGCTGTACGCCTCATGAGCTCCATATCCCCAGAGAAGATTGTGATATAATTCACAGTTGTGCCTAATCAAAGTTATATTCCCATTAAGAGCTTTCCAGGTTCCATCCAGATGTTTCTCAGAGATGATCTCAGGATAAGCATATAGTATCATTGGGCTTTCCTCGCCTTCCTTTTGGAAAGATGACACATTGTATGCCTGTGGTACTGCCCCTCTGAGGATCTTGATTTATATTCCATTTTATTTTGTCTTTGGCTATCCTCCAGCCTGTATTGTAGGGATCTGCAGTAGGTGGCCCTCCAGATGTTGGATTCCAACACGCATAAGCTCCAGGGGGTTAATGTGGGGGGAACAGCAGGAAGGTAGGAGACAGGAGTGAGCAGAGGGGCAGCCCTAGTATGAACATACAGAAAAAGCCAAACAAAGGATACAAGGTGCCTGGGTGGGGATGTATGGGCAGGTCATAATGTGAAAATGCAATTCTTTTAAAGCGAAAATGGTTAAATAATACTGGTCTATAACACAGTAATGGCCAGGACGAGGCAAACCATGAAATATAAGCCCACAAGGGTGAAACCTGTTCACTGAGGTTCCTT